TATTGATGAGATGGGGAGGGGAGGGGAGTAAGCCGGCAGGGCCAGTGGGCGCTGTCAGGGCTTTGGGGGGGGGTGGAGGGGGGGGGTAGGGTAGCTGATGTGCTGCAGCTGCTGCAATGGAGGCACCTCCTCCCCTGCCGGCTCTCCAGGCGCTAGCTCTTCTCCAACAGGTGGGGTTGTAGTGTAGGGGAGATAGGTAAGCGGGATGCGAGAGGAGGAGGAGGAGGTAGGGGGGGTGAGAGGGAGGTGAGGCAAGTGGACCGCTGCGTACCTGGCCCTGTTCAGGCGCCACCCAGCTCCCCAGCGGCTGTTGGTTGGTGCGCTCTTTCCCTTCCCTTCACCCCAAGGGAAAGCGGTTGGCAAAGGTCTATGAAGATGTCACTTTTGCTTGCTTAGGGATGATGAGATTATCCTAATCCTGATCGTACAATTCCTAATATGATATATTAGATTATTGTTTATTGTTAGTAGTGACGGCAGCAGGCAGCACTGCATCCTTTAGTACTAATAGTTCCTGTGGGGGGGTGTCCGCTGTGGCGCACACAGGGGTGTGTGTGTGTGGAGGCGGCCGCTGGTGTGAAGGGGCTGTGGGGAAACGGGGGAAAGCAGGAGACATTTATTGCCGTCATTTCCTTTCCTTTTTCTTTTCCTTTTTCCTTAAGTTGTTGCTGATAGTGCTGCTTGCCGTGGCGTTGGGTGCGGGTGTGGGTGTGGGTGTAGAGCAGCCGCGGTAAATGGTGGATGGAACATGCCACAACATTGGGTACGTTTGTACATTGAGCTTGAATTGCTGCGTGGAAGTCGTCGTCGTTTGTTTCTATGCGCGTTGGTCGCCAACGTGTCCGTGTTTGTACGGCACCGTACATTCCCACGCCGCGACTTGTGGGGTGATAGAAGGAAAAGCGTCTGTCTCCCTTCATTGCTGCGTCCATGCGTCCGCATGTAGGCTTTTGTTTTTGTGGTGCAAGCACGAATGCGTGTGTGCACGTGTGTATGACCGTTTATGTCTGTCTGTCTGTCTTTTTGTCTGCCTGTCTGTAGGTCGGTCTGTGTGCATGCACTAATGTATGTATGTGAACGTTATGTAAGTGTATGTATGTATGTATGCACGTATTCAGCCCTCCGGGTGTAGTGTTGTTTGCGACAGAGGACCCCCTCTTCTCAGAGGCGACTCACTCGGAAACGACCACCAGGCGCCGTTTTGCGGCGGCGAAGTCTCCTACGCTGAGTCAGCAGCCCCATCTGTAGAAAGGAAACAGCCCCGCACGAGTTGGTGCTGCGGTGGCGGTGCCCCCGTTAGCTCTGGGCCCTCGGTGTCTGCTTTTGACCTCCTTGCTTGGGGTTTGGCCAGCCGCGTACCTGGTAACTTCGGATGGTGATGAAGGCTATCATCGTAATGATGTCGACAATAAGGCCGGAGGATGCTTCGTGGTTTGTGTTATCGTTGCGTGTGGTTGTCGCCCTTGTGGCGCTGCGGACCATCCTGGATTGGGAGAGGGGCCTCTGGGCCTGGGGACCCTGCAGCACAAATGTGTGTGTGATGTGATGTGATATGTGAAAATTGCTAAAATGCCAAAACAACGCATGTGCATGGCATATGTATCAGGTAAAACGTTGTCGCAAGGATATCCGTGCAGTGATGCTCAGCCCTGCAGCACCCCCGCACCGTCCAAGCACAGCTTTGGGCCAGCATAAGGCCCGAAAAGGTACTTTGGCAGATTCTTTCCTAACTGTTGCGCCCACACCGGTCAAAACCGCCTTTCAAATTTTCGCGTTTGGGGGAACCGCTGGATGGACACACCGGGGCGCCCAGGATCGTTTATAGAAAGGAATCGATACCAGTAGATTGTCTTAAGCGAGATAGGATCGAGATTTGTATACGCGAGCGGAAGCAGAATCAGAGTTTTGTCCTGAGGCCGCAGGCCCAGGTGTAGCTGAAAGCCTGATGTGAAGAGAGTTTTACTGTCGGGCCACTAGGCCCACTGTCAGGTTGGAACCTAGCCGGTTGTTGACAAGATAAAATGGGTGGGAGTCATCCACGCCAAGTGAGGGCGATACTCATTACAAACTTCCTCGGCTGGTGCGTTCTGCTACCGTGCGCGGGATTTGTATGGTTCGATTGTCCCCTAGAAAACATTGGTCAGGCCGCGCCTTATATATGGCAAACGCGCCCGCCATTCGTACAACTGTCGTATGGTCAACGTAAGACGCAGCTACCCTTTTCGTGCAGCAGCTACTTCATTACGCAACGCCAGCTACCGGTTTACGCAGCTCCGGGCCAGGTTCACGGCGGCCAACGGAAATGAGAAGAAACTAGTAGTGAAC